TCAGTGACTTCTTTTTTTAGCTATACATACATCAGTACATCGTTTGCGTGTTGCTTGTCTCCTTGTTTGATTTTACCGTGGTCAGTAACTTCCACTGGAAATTTGCTAGTAGAGCCATACTGATGTAAAGCAACACTTTATGTACAGCTCATTGCATCAGTATGCAGTATAGAAATTGGATAGAAGAATTGTAGCTCACCGATTGACAGTAAAAAAAGTATCTGATATAGTTCTGGGATCTGTTTGAACATTGTTTACAAAGCTATTCTTACCTCATGTCTTAATGCTTTTCTTTACAACAGTGTGCAGATTGCCATATTCTTTGTTTTTCTTCTTTATTTTTTTGGTAGATGATGCTAATGAGACAAGGAGGGTTTTTAATATGTAATGTAAGCATTCATCTGTTACATACTTTGACTATTACTCTTTTTTATTTGGTGAAAAGAAGGAACCTAGGTGGGCATTATAAAATTTCTTCAGATGGTTACCTCGCAGTGTCTCTATAACGAAGGCAGTAGTATTACTTGCCTTCTCACTGACTTTGTTTTTTTCCCCAACTGCAAATTAAATTTTATTTTGTAATATTGTCAGTCCACAAACATGTGTGTCAGTAGCACCCTAGAGAGAGAAAACCATAGGTTGTTACTGTAGAAAGGTCAGTTAAACATTTAGAGCTTAGAAAAATACAGAGTCAAGTAAGTCAATGTCCAGGCTGTGCTTGGAGGTAGCAGATGGGAGTGCAGAAAATAAACAGTTGAAAGATGGTTTATTGTGATGCTAACTCACAGGAATCACTCTGAGGTTTCCAGTTGTATGGATGCTAGAAGAATGTATCTTCATGTAAGTGCTGTTAGATAGAACTTGTCTGTGATTTTAAGGGATTTAGACTTTACAGCAAAAAAAGGAGTGGTGTAGGCAAGTAAAAGAGACTGGAAATGTTTGAATAGGATTGAATAGGTCACTTGACAGTACTGTTGTGTGGCAAGAAATAGCTTTACAGTAGGACGTGCAACTCCCCAGACTTCAGGTAACGCAGGTTTTCTATCACTTTATTGTTTTGCTTACCGGAAAGATGCTTTTTGCTCAACAAATACTGTAGATGGCAGTAAGATAATGCTAGAAAAGGTGCACAGGCCAGAATATTAAGTAAATGAAAGCGTATGTATAAAACCTGTTGATGGTTTCAGGGGTTTTTTTTTTTTGGGGGGGGGAGGATTCTGCCTGAATTTTTTAGATTTGCTAAAGAGCAAGCAGACATCCTTGCATTTTGTTGTAAGATAAGTGCAGCAGTTTTACGTTTGTGAAAGGTTCTCCTTTCCCTGGTGTATCAGGTATATCATGATAGCTCCACAAATCTGGTATATCCCTATCAGAGTCTTAAATGATCCTCTTTCTGCTCAATATTTTTCTTGCCTTGTGGAAGAAATAAGGTGGGACATGATGCCTTCAGCATTGTGGTTTCCCACTGTCAAGGTCCACCAAAGTTAAGAGTAAAGCATGGTATGCACCGAGCAGTGTCCAGCTTCCAAGAAAAGACAGCCTTGTCTCAGTTGCAAGACAGCATACCTGAAGCTGGCCACAAGGACAGGGAGGGAAGCAGCAAGGAAGTTACTGCAGAGTGGAGCGTCACCAGCAGAGGTTGGGGAGATGGTGCAAGGAGGCATCAGCAGGAGATGGGAAGGGGGAAGTGTCTGGGGACAACAGAAAGGGGACAGATATTAGCACTAGGGTCCCAAGGGGTGGGAAAAGAGTGAGAGGAGGCTGGTGCTCAGGGAATGTGAGTGAAAGGTGCAAAACCTCTGGGATGGTATGGGTGGGAGGCAAGGTGGTGAGGTGAGGACAGTGAGGTTCACCCCACAAACTGGGGTCAGTCAGCCTGGACTTATTACTATAAGCATATGTGTACACATACATATATAGATATTGATATTGGACACAAAGTTTAGGAGTACTCTCTTGGTCCATTTCATCTTGGTCAATGTCCTTCTCCTTATTCCCCCCTATCTTCTCCCTCTGGACTCACACGATCTGTTAATTTCGGTTAATATTGCTGATCTTTTTAAGGAAAGTAGGTAGGTGGTTTGTGTGGCCTCTTGTGAGCTGATGACCATGTTGTTATTCATTCACAGTCATTAAACAGAAAAAGCTTCCTGGTGGTACTGGGGGCTCTGTCACATGCAGTGGAAACGCACTGTGTTGGCAATAAGGAAAATTATCTTGAAAAAAGGCATTTCCTTGTCTTTTGTAGATGACAAATACATGTAATTCATGATCACTATTTTAAAAAAAGTCAAAAAAAGTTTGAGACCAGTTTCTGTTTTCCCTCTCACAATGTTTGCATGTTTTCACTGAAATTAGTTGCTTTCTCTTTTCTAGTCTTGAGTTATCCACATCATTTAGAATGTGCAAACGTATATGGCTTCATAGCGGAGAACACCTATAGATGCAGGATTTCAAGCTTCATTAATATATATTAAGGTTTTCAGCTCACTTTCTTCTCCTGCTGGAAAGCTATACAAAAGAATTTGGTATCCAGTAACAAAACAGTAAAATAGCAAGACTATCATAATCAACTTTTAAAGATAATTCCTGAAGCAGATGTTCACAAACAGCCAATTTTTATTAGAATAACAGTGGGAAGGAGTTTGCTTTTGTTTGTTTGGCCCTGGAGGAAGTTAAAAAGCCTTTCTATAATTTTGATTATAACTCAAAGTGTGGATTTTATTGTACGAAGGATGTGGTTGCATGAAGGATGGAAACCTTAAGGGTCTAAAAGCTGTTTTTAAAAGCTATAAATCGAATTCTCTGGTTAATCTTAGGGAACCTGGTCCTGTGGCAATTTTCTTCTCTAATGTGCTGAACATGTATGTCTTTTCTAAAAACTGATGGTACAAAAATGGCACCCACTTACTCAACACATCTGCTCCCTGAGCATATGGGAGGTGTATCTACAGATTCCTGTGACTAAAATAAGTGCTTACAATCAGTCCTACCAGGACAAAACAATGTAGGAGGAGTGGGGTTTAATATGTTCGTTCTTTATTCCTGACCAGGAAAATGGTTCCTTAGAGCCTCCATTTTAGATCCAGAAAATCTAGGAAAACTTGCAGTCCAGCTTCAAATCTCCGCTGACCTAAAATGCACTGATATCAGCATTGAAATTTCGCTGGAATTTGCTGATGACACTGTCTTGAGAGTGTCTTCTCAAAATGCCTGCTTTGCATTGGTATAACCAGAGGGATATACATGTTTTTTTGTTTGTTTTTTTTTAACCAGAAATGATGTTTTACTAGTAAAGATGAAAGAATTTTTAGAGCAAGTTTGAATAGCAGCGAACTAGAAAAAAACTCTAATTCTCTTTTTATTAATTCTTGGGATACAGCTGCTGGGAGATGAGCAAGACATGATCCTATAGAATTCAATAATATTAATTTTGTGAGGACTTCTGTCGTGTGCATCAGGGTCACGAGACAGATTACCCAAAAAGGGACCTTGTGCTGCAGCTTCTAGGTCCTTTACACAGAAGCTGCCTTGTGAGGGCAGGGGGTGTTGAGAGGACGGAGTGTGTCTAATCTCTTGTTGCTGCAAATTCAGGACACAACCAGGGAATACTCACATAGACCTTGGCTTTAGGAAGCTCTGCTAGATGAGCAGGGCCTGTTTTCCAAGCTCTTGCAAGTTGGAAAATACTTGAAGATAATTAACATTGGTAAAGAACTTAAGTTTAAAAAAGCCAACTTAACAGAAATTAGTAGTGATAAAAACAGCAAAAACAAATGTTCCTACATTTAGCCAGTTGGAGAATAAGGGGTGTCAATAACTGGCTGAGCAGAGGAAGAGCAAAGCACCATGTTTTACGCAGCAGGAGTAGGAAAACAGGTTCAGAGTGTAGGAGTTGCATAAATGTTTAATTACGATGAACAAAATATTGACTCAGCAGGCTCAGTTGCGTGCTGGTAAGTTTGAGGAATTATTCTTGTATGCTTACCAAAGTGTGTTATTAAATTTTTTTTTGTTTATTTAAAAGACTTAAAAAACAGATCTATGTCAGATTTTGATCCAAACTGAAATGAAAACTATTTACATATTTTTTAACCAAGTATCAGGGTTGAGGAAGCAACAAGACACGCAGAAACGATAATCAGCTCTGCAACATCTTGAAAGCTTGTGGAGAAGTTGCTGCTGATGCTCTGCATCTGGTAGCGTAGGCTTGTATTTCACATTCTGAGCTGCAGATGACATGGCTGATGTCAGCGGGACAAAGTAAACCGTTTAGCAAAAAATAGTCTAAAGCTATACATTTTCTCCAAAGCATCTTAACATAAATGTTCATTAATATAAAATTCTGATATCTGAGCTTACAAAGTGATTACTGGTGGGAAGAGAGCAGCAGTGAGGCTGGTGTTCCTCATAAGACAACTGAGAGCTGACCTCTTCAGAACTACCAGTGCCAAGTGCCAAGTTTGATTTAGAGAAGCTTTGCAAAAAAGGCTGAGTTTGGGTGCTGAGAAATGAACGTACTGTATTCCTTTAACCTCTTTTCTTGCATGCAGTTGCGGATATTCAGAGCATAGTTCATAAACCTCTGTTAGTATTTACTCTAAACCCAAGGGCTAGCCTAGATTTAAGTTCAGATCCGAGTTTTGCACCAATCCTGATGTTTGCTTGGAACTAAGGAACTGCTATGTGTCTCTTCTCGTCCATATCTTTAAAAGTACTTTATGTGTGTTTTTTGCTTTTGCTTTTTTTTTTCAAAATGGTGTTTCAAATAAGGACCTTTTCTTCCAAGTAGTTAGCTATAGCAAAGCATAACAGGGAGGCAGTTACAAATGGCCTCATTTATATGGATATAAACAAGGAGCTATGATTCAAGATTGGCATTAGGAAGAATTAGATATTAACACCTGTGCTATTTTGTGCATACTGTTTCCTGATGAGACCGGTTTAATTTTATGATACTATTGTTTATCACTGTAATCTTGTTTTTGTTTGTTTTGCAGATGGGCTTCTTCCGCAGGAGGTACAAAGAAATTATTGAGGCTGAAAAGAACAGAAAGGAGAATGAAGATAGTTGGGACTGGGTCCAGAAAAATCAGTGAACTGCCAGCAAAAATCAAAAGTCCAGTCATGTGACACGTGCCTGCTCGCCTATAGGTCCTGCTCTCGTATCTTCCATATGTGGAAGAAGGAATCTTCTCCAGATTTTTCGGAGACCCCATTGATGCTGTGTCCTTGTCACTCTAACAAGCTAGGGAACGTATCCTGAGGCAACCACTGCAGCCAGGTCAGGTGACTGGAGCGATTGACCCTTCATGTAAGAGCTGAACTTTGGTAACCAAGCTGCAGTGCAGAGCAATATTTATGAATCCAACTATGTGCTATACCCTCAGGGGAGGACTGTTACCTAAAAATATTTTTTATAAATATAAGCTTTTTATATTGATTATGTCTTTATATTTGTATCAATGTTTTATAGTTTCTATTGAATAGCTATATAGTTCACTCAAGCACTGATATCTGGCTAAATCCTTGGAAATGCATATATGTATATATAAATCCTATAGTACTTTTACATTTCAATGCAAGAGAAGAAAAAGATTTGCAGATAAAAGTAGCTGAAAACCTCATACACTTAATTCACAAGGCTTGGTAATGTTGTATATAGACCATTTAACGGCAAGAAGCCAAAGTCTTTTCACTTTTTTTTGAGTTGAATTTGGTGTTTGATTTATGGACTAAAGAATCTAAAGTATTACCTGTATGCGATGCTCTGTATTTGAGCCTATCCTTCACTGAGCTGGGTGGGAGAGAAGGAGAGGGCTTCCTCAGTGACACGCAGCGAGGCTTGTGGCTCGCTTTGCTGGGCTGCCTTTCCATCACAGGGCACTCTGCACTGAAGAAAGCATCAGAGACTGCCTGTCTTTGGGAGGGTCTCCCCTGCAGGCTCTAGTACTTCAGTAATGGTCTAGGGCTGCACAGTGAGACACCAAAAGGGTACAACTGGGCCAACCACTACAGCATTGATGAATTCCTTGGAGTTTATAAAAAAAATAGAGAGCTGTATTCATGTTTTAAGGGATAGTTTTTAAGCTACTGTTAATGATTGTGATCTGTTGCTATCAAAGCAAGTGACAAATGGCTACAGGCTGTGACTGGGATGCCTGCCTTGTGAGTTTTACACGCGAGTCGTGGGTGGGTTTGTATTGAATAGATGTGAGGGTTAAAATGTGTTTTGGTCTTGAGGTTCCAGGTGTGGGTGCTGAATGTCATCATATCGTATGTCATACCGAATGTCATCACATCATGGTTTCATCTAGTATTAAAATTGGGGGTTAACTGAGGTGCAGACATTACTGAATGTCAGATGGCCACTTCATTCAGAGGTAATGCCTTAACAAATTGTTTGCTGCATTGGAAGAAGCTCACTTATAATAACTATATAACTAATATAACTTAGCCATGTTTTTTCAGTAAGTTCTGGGGTTTTTGACTAGAATAGTGCAATTGCTATGAGACTTGATTTTAGATTCTTTTACTTTGCGCCTTGTATAAACAAGGAATAATGGTCATGTTGGTATAAAATCCACATGAGGGAAAGAAGGATCAGGCTCAGTGATAGGTATTGGAGGAGCTGCAGGAATAAAAGGCTATAGGATGTCTCACTAAGGGTCACGTGAAAGAGCTGCTGGAGCACTGAATGCAGAGCAGATACAAGAAATCTACTCAAGTGCAGACCTTATCCCTGCTATTCCTTGCAAATTCATTATAGCTTCACATTTACCTGTATGATTGAAAAAAAGATCCATATCCATGCTTACTCTTCTCCCTCACTTCTCAAATTGACCTTAAGTGCCTGCTCTTACTACAGTATCGAACATTATTTATTAACTTATCTATCCAGGCCCATTAGGTAGTTTTTAAGTGAATGAAGAGCATTGATTGAACACTAGAAAAGAAAATCTATTGGTCTATTCAATTTTCTTTCTTAAAACAATCCCTCGGGAGTAAATAAAGCATATGGGTATAGCAAGTCCTCATTTAAGACAGAATCTGAAGAAAACATACTAAGAAGAAACCTCACTATAAGTTTAAGTATTTACTTGCAGTTTTATCTTCAGAAAGTGCAGAAACAAAAGGCTGATGCTCTTTTATTGCACTATTTTATGATAAAGTATTGAATTCTTTCTAATATGATTCATCTAAATTTAATTAGTTTTGCTAGAACTACTTGGGCCTAACATACCTACTTCTGCTGTTGTTGAAAAATACCTGATTGTCATGTAGATGTTAGAGACAAAATTAAATCATAAACAGAAAAGGAAAAGTTGAAAGGTAAAATTTGTCCCTGAGTATGTTTGAGGACAAATGAAGCTATTTGTGACTTTGAACTGAATTTGGGAAGTTTTAGCAAAAAGAGGGGAAAGTACCACTTAAAACATTCAAATGTCTCATTTCCACATTTTCAAACAGACAAAAATGTTTCAAAAATGTCCAAAATATTTCATTTCAGTATTTTTGAAAACAAATGTAACTTTTCATTTGAAAACTGTTTATATAGATAGGTATATAAAGAAAAGATTTTAAAAGGCTGAACTAGCTGTTCAGCATTTCATCCTAGTTTAAACAAATATTTTTGTTTGACTTGAGACTAAAAAGATTTTTGTGATTTTGTTAAAGTAAAAAACCAAAAGCAAATACCATTTGATTGAACCCAAGCTGGATTTAATTGAACTCAGCTCAGATTTGATATATCTAGTCGTCCTCCAGCACTCAGTGAAAATCAAGTAATCACATTAATGACAGATTCCTGAAATAATCTCTAAGTACTTAATGTCATGACTGTCAGGTATTTGTAGTTCTTTTGCCACAGATACTTCTGTTTTCATGTGTATTCTTACTCTACATCATTTTCTTCCTCTTTTTTTTTTTTTTTTTTTTTTTTTTTTTTTTNAAGATTCCATTGTAATTCTTTTGACTCTTGCTTAGTTCCAGTTAGGACAGTCAGATCACATACCAATACACACTAAAATCTGCTTTCTGCTTTTGTCTCCATTAAAAAAAAAAAAAGTAAAACTCACTAATACCAGTTGTTTGCCTTCAGTTTTTACTTCCACAGTTCTTATGAAAATGTAATATACTCTGAGAACATGTAGCAACATGTAGATCTACTATGAATCTGCTAGTTTTAAATAACAATAAATATATATATGTATAGCTGTATTAGAGTTACTTTGGAAATTGCATCAAAATTACTTTGGAAAATGTTTATGGGTGCTGGAAGTTCCTATATGCCAGCTCTTTTTAAATTCGCTTATGCTGCACTGGTTGTACAGCAGAGAGCTGGTAAAACTCCTTGTTTTTTGGTATGTGGCCTTAGCTTCTAAATAAATCTAGTTTTTAATTAATAGAGTTACCATGAGGAAGTCAGCAGACTGTGTAAGGTGCAGGATCAGTGAAGCAGTCTCTGAAATTACTTCAGAAATCACTTGTGTGACCTGAGAGCATGAGTCTCCTCCATGTGAACCCCAAACCAATGAACCACTTCGGCGTGCCCTTACCCTCAAGGTGGGCAAGGTCTTTTGCGATGCTCACCAGTTAAAACCACCCTCCCTACCTTGACACATGAGCGAGTGGACCCCGTACAAGCCAGCGATGGGTAGGTCTTGTGGATTGCTGAACGCAACAGTTGCACAAAGAGTGAATTTGAAAGTATTTAGCATTGACTTTCTTGAATGTCTTCTGTTTTTGGGCACATATTGGAGTCTTGCACGAATTCAAAGCATAGTATCCATGTGACATGGGTTTATAGAACATGGCTTTCACTAAGGGATTAAGGGAATCATAGGACTAGTTTCTACCTTTATCGACATTCATCCTCCTGTTGAGGTTTCTTGGATATAAGTGAAAGTAGGACCTGATTCAGTTAGTGTACATTGATTAAACTGGCATGAAGTCTGTAATTGCTTTTGGAGCATGGTTTGCATACACAGTAGGATACCCACACTGTTGTCACTCCTTTTTCTTCGAATGTCACTCCTTATGTATTGTAAAATATATGTTTCTTCTTGCGAACTTGTGGTTGGAAGAATGTGTTCACGCTTATTGATGTCACCTGTATTTAGAAGCTCGTGTTCACCTGTATTCTAATTCACTTGCACTGTTTTGGAAATGTCAGGTTTACAAAGATACAACTTTTTTTTGAATAAAAAGTGGCTGCAAAATTATCCTAATAATATAATTTTGTCACATACTGTCCGTGTCAATCTCAAAGATTTTTCTGGTTTGGGGATGAGACATTTTTTCATTTATGTTTGAATTAAATGGTATTTGCGTGTGTTTAACAGTGTAGGTAATAGATGTCTTTTATGAAAATTCTTTGACTTACATGAAACTAAGATATTTGCAGACTAAAAATATAATTAATTTCACTACAATATTAACAAATATGGAATTAAAAGAGATGCAGTGGAAATTATTTCTATTTCACAATATTACACTATCACATGAAATAAAACTCCACGTGGTGCTTATATTCTTACAGTAAGACTGACAACCTGCATAACTTGAGTTCTATATCAGTCTGGTATGAATTTTGACGAAAGTGATTTTTTTTCTTATTTTGTGTACACGAATGTGTATTTTTTTTCTAAAAAGGTTTGTACTTAATGGGTAGCTAAATAATACATCTGCAAGATTTTCTTCAGCTTCATACCTCTCCACACTTAACTTGTCAAAATATACAGAAACTGATGCTAAGCAGTAAAAAAAGCTGATTTGTTTCTATGGTTGTTATCTCTCTACTTCTGATACCACCTAGAGGTTCCATCGAAGTTTTCTCATCATTCTGAGGATGGGTGAAATATGAAGAGACATAAACCTTCATTTTAAAACAAAACCACAAAATGAAACCTGAAATTTCAGCCTCTCCCTTTATGTCTTAGTTCCCTGCTTTTTGTGCAGACCCTCTGTGCAAGTGTATAGATGCTCTCCAGTTACACAAGACTCTCCCGATTCACCTGCATTAAGCTGCCAGCTCCATACCTGGGAGCAGAGCGGGCAGAGTTAAGATGTAAGCTGTGACTCAAAGCTCATTTCTATGTTGCTGGCGAAAGAGCAGAGCTTTGTGTCCCGCAAGGCTGAAGGCGTTGCGAGTGCTCCAAGCAGCTCTGGGTCAGGGCACAGAGCTAGCACCCTTCCAAGAAAAAACAAATGTTCTCAATCGGGAAAGCTTTCTACCGGGGAAAGAAAACATTGCCGGGGACTGGGGGTGGAAGGATGCTCTGCAGAAAGGAATGTGGTGCAGGGTTTGCTTTGGAAGGCGGGTGGCAGCTTTAGGGAGGCAGCAGCTAAAATAATAACCAGAAGCGTTTGGATGTACTCGTGCCTTGTTGTTACCATGTGCTTGTTTGTAACGCCAAGCGATGGATTTCCCTCCTTGGGGAGGAGAGGAGAATTGAAGGAGTATAACTGCTCGCTGTGGGGCTCACTTGCTGCATCTTTCTTGCTTTTTAATGAAGAAAACGGCTATCTAAAGTGCTTTGTTTTCTGTGCTGCTTGTGGTTGTAGCGATTTTTAAGAGCCGCTTAGGAGTTTTATGACAAAAGGGCTGGAGTTGGGTCTGACACTTGCCCTGAGCATGCCAGCCCCTGGCCTGCTTTTTGGAAGGGATTTAGTGGGGTCATATCTTCTCTATTTAAATAATTGTGTCTCCACTGTGGAGAAAAGTGGCTTTTACCCACACCTTTTGGGTCTAGCGGAGTGTATAGTGATCTGAGTAGTTCTGGGCAAGGTGTTTTGTTTTTGATTACAATTTTGAGCACCAAGTTGAGTGCCAGAATGGCAAGGGAGTGTGTTGTGGAGTCATTAGAGGTGCAAAGTAAATCTTGCCATGTTCCTTAGGCCCTGTCTGGCTCGCTACCACAATTAAAATGTAAAAGCACCTATTCTGGTATGACTCTTGTGTGCTCACTTCTGCATGTCTAAGGTTGAGCGTTTTAAATGGGTGCAATTGGAGATTTTTATCTGCAAGCAGTTTTGACCAGAGCAGAGCTTGATAGTGGGGAAATGAATCATCCTAACAAAAGAGCAATGGAAATTATTTTTTCATGTCTTAGCGATGCTATAATTTCCCATAACTGTCTGAAAGGACTGATTCATGAATTTCCAGTTCATTTCTTCTTCGATTTTAATGTAGTTTGTGTCATTGGAATGCTTGAACTTCTAGATGTGCAATGTTTTGCTAGGCTAATCAGCAGTTAACAGCTGTAAAGAATCAGAAATTAATGAAGTAGTAACCCTGAGCAGAGAGTTCCTTGCTGAAGACATGTATTCAGATATAATGTATTGGTTTTCATGAAATTATTCTAGATTTATACCATCACAAGTGGGAAGGGGCTCAAACAGGCTCCCTTGAAGCTGAAGGACACACATCATGAGGCAAGCTTGCACTAATCTGCATAAGTGGTAATGTACAGTAATTTCTGTCATTTAAACGGTATTCCTCTGGGTTTGCTATCTGAGAGCTGTGTAATTCAATCCTAATGATGCTGCTCTGTGCTGTATTTGGAAAGAGAAAAGCAATAGTAAGAAAAGTGATTGCTTTATTCAACAAAGAGAGCACTTCAGGAAGAACATACAACTTGTCCTACACCGGGTGTAGGACACCCATGGAGATGGGGCACTTGAAAACTGAACACAGTCTGCCCCTTTAAATAATAAGGCTGATGACTAAAATTCCTACTATATATTTACTCAGACTTTTACTGTGTTGATTTGAGGAGAATAGCACAGAATAGGAATTTGGCTATAAAGTCTTTGGCTGATCTTCCCCATTTTAATTTTCTGGGTGGGAGGGGAAGAGAGACTGCATCTTAATAGGGTAAGAAAATAAATAAAATAATGCTTGTGAGACTGCCAAATGAAACATAAAGGCAGGGAGTTGCCCGTTTTCTAGGTCAAGACTGTGTCCGTGGCATGACCTCCATTAAAGAGGAGAGCCATGTGTCACCTTGAGCACGTGGCACCTGTCACCCTACAATTACCTTGTCTCATGCTCTGTTGTTTCTCAGAACTGCTTGTCCCACTCTCACTCTCTCCACCCTACAGAAACTATTGACTTTTTCACCTCATCTCAGCCTCTCTCAGCTTCACAAGTGTTAATTTTCTCTTTCTCTCAACTTGCCTGAATGGCAAGTCTAATTTAAAATTAAATTAATTTTTAGATTATTGTTTCTCTTTCCTATGAAGGAGGATTTGTCCTTCTAAAAAATTTGTCATTATTTCCATATCATCAGATCTAACATAAGGTTTGACTGCTGTCTTCAAACCTGTAGTTCCAGTATTGATATGTCAGACTATCCTTATA